TGTCTCAACAAATGCAACACTTATCATATGTCTCTTTTAAAGTTTGAATGTTTGCTTTAATTATTTTCAACTGTATTGTTAACCTGACTCTAAGTCTCAACTATTTATCTTTCGTCAATGGAATTATTTTATTTTTTGCCTAGTTCCCCTTGAGGTTTCTCATTTAGCCATTTAGGTTTCACTTCACAGTGTACCTTTTAGTCACTGAAAATTCAAGCTTTCTGTGTTTATAGGTATACATTTGAAATAAATTCTGCTTTTCTTCTATATTACCGATAGTCTGCTCAAAGCTACCTTCTGTAATCTCTTTTATAAATAGTACATCTCACTTACCTCTTCAAGTGAATTTTAGAATCATCATTAAGATCATTAAATAGGAGCCATGAATTAAGTTGCCTCACTTATGTTGGTCATATTATCCGAGCTGTTGTTTTGCAAATTCATGTAAGTACAGCATTACACAATACCATGTGCCTATAGATGACCAGTGGTAATTTAAGATTTGGAGGAATTAGAATGCTCATTATGTGCATGACAAATTGAAGTACATGATCATGCACGGCAAAAGTACTGATCTTGCACTGCGGAAATGAAACTGAACAATTTGACATGTGTTTGATTCTTTGATGCGGCATTAGTTCCAACTCAGATATGCAATTAATTCAGCACTCTAGATACGCTTTGACGATGAACCAGCAGAATCAGAATGGTTTGGCACCATTTTCTTTAAAACACAATCAGGTTAATTAGAAATTTTGTACAAAATTGCAAATCACAATGACATCAATATTGCTCCACGAAAGGCTTTTCTTAAAAATTCAGTTGAAATCATTAATCCCTATGATTACTATCACAGGAACACACTGCTGTTTTCTAATGGTGTATGCATCTAGATAGTTGATTGCTGTGATCATTCCGTGGTTAATCACAAAACAAAACATGTTCACTTGTATCTATGAAGAGCTATACATAAATAAGTTACTTCTGATTATGAAGTTAAATCACATAATTACACAGGCTCAAATGTTAATATCCCACACTCTTAATTGCAATATTTGAAGTTTGAACATATAGTTTCTGAGGAACTTAAAGTTCCAGGTCCCAAGTACACAATACACAGGTCTCCAGCCTGCTCACGACTGTAACCACCTGTTATCAATAACATGAATGATAAAGGATGCAATATCAGTCTTAATGGCCTCCACCTTTTGAAAGCTCGGACAAAGCCTGGCTAAGTGAACACTGGGGATTTTACCAGGTATAGTAATATAAATAGAGAAGGCTAGAGACCAATTTTCGTTTTAGTGAAACAAAATTACTTCCATCATTACGCATATAAAGTAATGCTCTGCTAATAATTCATAGCATCTCAAATGAAAACATCGCCCAGAGTACAATCTGCTTGGAAGCAAGGAAGAAATAATTCCTCAACAATCTTAACATGGCATGTCAAAATGCAAAACAACATAGTGACTTCAAATTAGATTGTTATTGTCAATAAGAAACCAGAGGCCTGGGTTCGTTTATGAAGTAAGGTGTGCAAGTGTTACAACAGTAACTACATTACAACTCTCTTAGTAGCAGGCTTTATTAGTATGACTGAAAGCATGCAAGTGATAATTCCTTCCTTGAATGTGAAAAATGAAGTATCAGTGACAACTGTAGCCGAAAGTCAATGTTGAAGGTAAACCAAATAACCTAAGGTAAAGTGGGAAGAAGTATCACCACAGGATCCAGACCGTTTAGGGAACAGAACATTGGATGAAAGTCTGTTTGGTTTTTCGGTTGCTGTTAGATCTCTAGAATCAAGTGGCACAGACAAGCTGCTAGACTTTGTTGCCAAACATAATCAGTTTCAGGGGTCCCTCCGTCAAATTTTACCAACTGCAGAAAATGATATTACTTATTAATCAGCTATTAATCTGATTTGGCATTATGTTGAAATACATCACTTCAGAAGTTACTGAAAATCTTATACTGAAAATCTTATACTGAAAATCAATTTTACATGCGGTGTCATGAAGTACTACTTACCGAAGTTGCACAGGTTGAACATATTCTTTCCTAAAACGTTTTAATTCTGCACTGAGAGGCTGATCACCATGCTCCATTGCCTTCCGATCAGCTTCTGTAGGCTCTGGCTCTGGAATCTCAAATCTAACATTAAATTCAATACAAAAATACAAAATCATATTATGTACAGAGTCAAAATATGCCAGTGTTACAAGTCATAAGTTTGATTGATTTGACCAAATGAATAATATGCCATGGAACCCGTATTTCGCTTGGGTAATAAATGTAACAAAACAACAAGCTCAAATCAAACAGAATTAAATTTGGCTTGGAATCAAAATGGAAATATTGACTTAGAGAGAGTCATACAGCATGGAAACAGACCTTTCGGTCCAACTCATCTGCACCAACCAGATAACCCAATCTGACCTTGTCCCATTTGCCAGCATTTGGCCCATATTTCTCTAAGCTTGAGTGAATACCACGTCAGGACTGTGTTCACATTCATCATCTTTCTTTTCCTTTATTTATTATTTGCTTCTGTACTTCACTTTCTGAATCAAGGTAGACAACCCAACAGTTCTGTGCTACTGTTTATACTCTATCCACCCTACTTCACTCATCTGATCAATATATTTTCTATTCTCTCTCCTCTTTGTATTGATCTAGCTCACTCTTCATGCACAACTTTGGTAGCAAACACCACACATCCAACGAAACCCGAAAAAATTTCCTGTTCAATCACAAAGTATTAAAAAATCTATCCAACTTCAAGACATCATCATAAATTAATCACCCAACTACCTTAAAGACACAAAAGAAAGACATACAGAAAATGCTCAATTAACACAAAATACACAAAGTCACAACTTTCAAACCTTTGCCGAAAGCAAATCAAATCAATATTTCTATGATCCACACAGTTCAAAAGCAACAGCCTCAAACTCCTAGACCTTTCCTCATGAAAGGCACCACACTTACATGACTGCATTCCAAAACCTAACCTAACTCAAACTCATTACTGACAAACTACGGTCTACTCAACCCTCCACTTCAGTCATGCTCCTGACTACTCCCCATTGCTTTCAGTGTAGACTGATTGTTATTTTGCAAGAGATGGCTGAAGGGAAAATATCAAAGCTTATATCCACCATTCTGCACAATTTTGAAGAGGAAATGAAATTAAATAACAATTAAGTAATAAATACCACTGAAAAAAAAGGACAGTTAAAGAAACATAGGGGTGGATTTTCTGAGTACATGGTCTCTTTATCTCCTTTTTAATGAAAGGAAACAGCTGCATTTCTGAAAGGAGATTTCTATGCAGGGCTCTTTCAGAAACATAGAGCTTACTTGTATTCTGAATGTGCTGTTGTAGCAAGAACTAGTGGGGGAGGCTAACCACCTTGCCTTTTGAAAGCAGTCAGCTGCTGAATTCTGGAACTTACAAGTCCAGAATCATAAACAGCCACTTTGAAAACTGCTGTCAAAAGGTAAGTACATAAGTTAAGTTTGAGGGAACAGGGTGCAGTGAAGGTAAGGTGTCAGATAGGTAGGAAGGTAAAGTGCCAGCTAACTAAGGTGCCAACTACTAGTAGGCAGGGTGCTAGGGTGCAGTGTGATAAGGGAGCTAGGTAACTGGTTAGTGTTTACAGTAGGTCTGGTGGCAGGGTCAGGGTGGAGACAGATTGAATCTGGAGAGGGGAAAGGGGGAGAGAGTGTGAAGCGGGTAAGCAAATTTGCAATGGGTAGAGGTGGAATTAGGTGTGGAGCTGCAAGGGGTGCTGGGGGCAATGGCCCGATGCAGGCAAATAGGGGAGCTGGGGTAAGTGGACCTGGAAAGGGTGAAGGGGGGGTTTGATCAGACCAGAAATGAGTGAAGGCAGGTTGATTCCTCGGGTGGGGGTGGTTGGGGGGAGTCAAAGCTAGAGTGGATGGAGGGGGAGAAAGTCCTAAGTAGGTGAAATGGGGGTCAAAACATAGGTTCAGAGCAAGGTGAAAGGTGATCAGGTCCTACGGATGGGACAGTTTCTGGGGCTATAAGTATACGGGGGGAGGTGTACATTGGGATGTGAGAGTTAAATACGGGTCATTTGAGTTGTTACTCAGGAGTCAGACTATGGATTAATACTCTAATTATTCTTGAATAACTATTTGATCAATTTAATAAGAACCCTCTGAATTCTATGATTTAAATGGAGTCTTTTGGAGAATTCCAGGCATACAAGAAGTGCCCAGTGGAATCTTGCGGGATTTCCTGGGCAATTTCTTCAGTTTGTGCTATCATGGGGATTCTGCAGGGTTCCCATGTACAACTCCCACTTTTGCTGGAAATAACAACCGTCTCATCAGAAAGTTCATGCCAATGGGAGAAAGGAAGAAAAATAAAAGCCAAGAGTACAAGAATAGAGATCACAAGAGACAGAGAAGAGATCCAGCAGTCCCAGAGGTCTTAAGTGGTTGCTTATATTTGGCAACTTGAAGACAGACCATGAATCACAATGGGAGAGATGTCTCCCTGCTACCCAAATGTCTGCAACTCAGAAAGCACAAAGCATCCTAGATGCAGCACATATGGGACCAGTTTAACTTGTGGGCCGAAGAATATGCACAAATATTTCTCCATCTGTATGAATAAATAAAGCGTTGAAGAGACAACTGCAAGACTTCAATGAAAAACAAAGCACTATCATCAATGGAGAAAGCCCATGCTCTAGAAACTGAAATATCAGTAAACATCAAAGAAGATTTTCCTCCAAGCTTATGAAGTGGTTAGTTTTCTTCATTAACATACGTGGTTACTTTAAAGCTTTCAAATGTTGCACTCTTGTGTAATTGTACTGTTGAGTTGATAAAATTACTAAGTTCGGTTAAGCATTTGCTCTTGCATATCTATTACAGTTAGAGTGGACAACTTTATAGACTAATAAAATAAATGTAAAATTTTCAAAGAGCGAACTGATTAAAAAAGTTTCTATATAATGATAACATACCTTTCAATTAAAAGGCCTAGCAACTCCCGGGGTTTGCAGAAGGACCGATATGTTGTGAGGAATGTCCTAACAAAGTTTGGGTCTAGAGAAATACAAAGTATTTTGAGCATGATTTGTTTGAAGGGATACCTGTGAAATAAAAAAGTTTTCTTTTCCTGAAAATAAAAAGGTGCATTAATTTATGCTGCTAAAAAGATAATTTCCAAATATTTTGGTTTATTAGCTCCATTAGATGACCACTCAAAAAATTCATTCCTTTAAAAAAGAAAACAAAACTGACTAGTTGTCACATTCGCATATATGAAATAGGTGTTCTGAAGAAGTTATAGTGGATCGAAATGTTGACCACTTGTGTCTCCAGAAATACTGCCAGACATACTGAGTTTCTCCAGCAGTTTCTCTGTTTATATCTGCATTTTTCTTTAAGGCACATTTTTTCTCATTCCATTTAAGTGCCTACGATACACCTTGAATGTGATGCCAACTTGAACAGATTACTTGATTTCTTTGTGTGCAGCTGACCTATAAACTCTGCTGACTGTTCATTTCACAACATTTTGCAGGTAGAGAAGCAAGATGAGAAAGGGAGTATAGATTTTATCACACATCTCACATTTCTTCTATGGAGGATAATCTACAAGGAAATATCTACTTAAGTTACAGTCAAATAATTAAGCAAAGGTTGCAGATGTAATGAAAATCAAAACAGATAGATGATAAGTCAAAATAAAACAAATTCATCTGTGAAACTATCTCCAAGTTGAAAATACTAATTTCACATGCCTTTTTTTTGCTGTGCTCGGTGAATAAAACCAAACAAAACTATCGCTGGATTTTTTAATAAACATTTGTCCTTGTGACAGCTTATCAGATTACAAGACAAATCCCTTCTTTTGGTTTAGCTCTCCCAAGGTATTCCAACTCATAATAGTGTACTTGCAAACAGTTTGAACAAATGTTATTTTCATATTCCAGGTTTTCACTTTGCTAGGGTATTTCTGCCTACCTACCATTGCTGAATATATTCTAACCAATAAAGAATCGATCAATCACTAAACCTGCCTTCTCACATGATCCGCCAAGCGATGTATTTGTCTGTCAACCAGTAGCCGATAGCTGACTAGGCAAATCACTCAAATAATTGTCACTATTTTAGCTAGATGTATTCAGTTTTTCACTTTTGGAAAATACATCAAGTTTATGAAACTCATACGGTGTTATTGCTCTATGTGCGCATACTTGCATGTCCAAAGGACAGTCAGAAATGCTGTTGGTTATTTCTCCAACATGAAGTTATTATGCACTTTTTCTCCTCTCCCTCTCTATTTATGTGTCAATTCCTCAGAGGGTGTCACTGCTGCTTAACTCGTACCTTTGAGATCTTGGTTCGTAGGCTGACCTTACTTTCTGCAGCAGGAATACAAAGTGGATGCCAGATTGGTAAAGTAACAGTGCGATAGACACCCCATTTGAGGTCTTCTGCCTACAGCAGTTTGAGCAGAGCAGCAACAAAATCTATGGAAAACTGAAGAAAGGAACTGTGGATGCTGTAAATTAGGAGCAAAAACAGAAGTTACTAGAAAAGCTCAGCAGGTCTGGCAGTATCTGTAAAGAAAAATCAGAGTTAACATTTCTGATTGTTCTTCACAGATGCTGCCAGACCTGCTGAGCTTTTCCAGCAACTTCTGTTTTTGTTGAACAAAATCTACAGAGCTCTGCAAATTTAAAAAAACTGATTTGCAAAAACATTTGCAAAAACAAAGTCTATTCCATTTTTTAAAACTTCTATTAACATTGATCACCAGTCTCTGAACACTGTAGCACCAGAATCCCCAATGGTTAACTTGGATTTCCACATGCTAAGATGTGACATTTCACAGTCATCGGTGTCTGCACAAATGTACACGTGGTTGCTTCAAAATGCATTTGTATGGATCCAATGAAACATCCAGATTGGTGCACTTGCCCCTTGTTTCGCTGAAAATTTAAAATAGGCTTACCACAGTAGGCTGGCAAGATCGAAAGAATGAGTTTGCAGAGGATTTTCATGAAAAATATGGTGTCTGAAAACATATAATCTTTTCTGATTTCTCTTATCATGATGTGCCAGTTATTTCCATGGAGAAATGGGTAACATTTAAGTCATGCTTATTTGCTTGTCAGTACTGTAAATGACTTCTACTATAAAGATTGTACAATCCACACATCATGGGCCCTGCTCTTTTTAAAATCCCTAGTAAAGACTTTGCACAAGAAACAAATATCAGGTTCAAATCTCTAAAGTCAGTTACAAAAACAGCAAGATTTCAACTCAATCCCGTATCGCCACTGCTGAAGCCCTATATTCCACCCTACTCAACCCTTCCTCTACATTCAACTTACAAGTAGTTTTGATTATTTTAGTACATACTAAATATTTGGTTTGGTCCACTTCTGCATTAATTAATTGTTTCGACAAAACCAGTCATTCTGCATTCATATGGTATGTTTCAAATAGCTCTTTTCAAACACAAATACCTCTTTGTAATCGAACGATTGAATTTTGCCTCTATTTCTCCAAAGTGCTTCAAGAGGCTGATCATGACCCACATCAACTCCAGTCTCCCAACCTGTCTCGATCCCCTACAGTTTGCCTACTGACATAACAGATTCGCAGAGGATGCCATATCCCTAGCCTTGCACTCATCCGTAGAACATCAGGACAACAAAGACACTTACATCAGATTCCTGCTCATTGACTATAGCTCGGCCTTCAACACCATTATCCCCTCCAGACTGATCTCAAAACTGCATGACTTTGGTCTCGACTCTGCCTTCTGCAACTGAATCCTCAGCTTTCTGACCCATAGGCTGCAATCAGTGAGGATAGGTAACTGCACCTCCCCCACAATAACACTCAACACTGCAGCCCTACAAGGATCCGTCCTCAGCCCGCTACTGTACTCCCTGTACACCTACGACTGTGTTGCCAAATTCCGAATGAACGCCATCTACAAGTTCGCTGATGACACCACCACAGTGGGGCAGATATCTAACAACGTGCCAAAATACAGACGGGAGATAGAGGGTTTGGTGACATGGTACAGTGACAACAATCTGTCTTTCAACATCAGCAAAACTAAAGAAGTGATCATCGACTTCAGAAAGAAAGGAAGAGAACATGCCCCCATCTACAATCAACAGAACTGAGGTTGAAAGGGTGAAGAGCATCAAGTTTCTCCATGACCTGACCTGGACTTCCAACACAAATGCGACAGTCAAGGCGGCACAACGCCTCTTCTTCCTCAGGCAGCTCAGGAAATTTGGCATGTCCGTAAGGTCCCTCACCAACTTCTAAAGATGCATCATAGAAAGCATACTGCCTAGTATAGCAACTGCTCTGCCCAGGACTGTAAGAAACTACAGAAGGTGGCGCGTACAGCCCAGACCATCACGGAAGCCAACTTTCCATCCACGGACTCCATTTACATGGCTCGCCTGCTGCGGAAAGGCAGCCAACATCAAAGACCCACCGCACCTGATAATGATCTCCAAGAACCCCTTCCGTCAGGCAGATGACACAGAAGCCTGAACACACGCACAAGCAGGTTCAGGAACAGCTTCTTTCTGGCTGTTATCAGACTGTTGAATGGACTCTAGCCTCAAATAATGTAACCTGCAACGTAACTTGTAGCTTCTAAGTCTTTTTGATGTGTACATCCTTTGCTTGCTGTGATCTGCCTGCACTGCTCGTAAACAAAGCTTTTCACTGTATTTTGGTACACGTGACAATAAAATCAAATCAAAAATCAAAGAAAAACTTGGCCCTTCAGAAGTCTCTCCTTGGGTCTTCGTAGCCTGAATCCAGACTTGGAATCCAGTCTTCTCCATGCTCCTCCAATACATTAATACCCTTTTGAAGATGAGAATGCACAAAACTGCACTTAAAAACATCAAATGCGGTTTCAATTGTGTTCTTCATTCCAACAAGCAGCTTTTTTTTTGTCCTACCAGAACCAATATTTTCCAGAGAGAAATCTGATCTTAGAAATGTTTGCTCTGGTGGGTATGATATCTACTGATGATCTGATTTGTTTGGGATAATTGCATGATACGGGTGTGCATGCGCGTGTATATGTTATATATCATATAGTGCAGAGTTTAGATTTCGGACTATTTGAATTAGACTGAAACGTACACAAGCCTCAATTGTCTTGACAAGGTAGACTTGTCCACTTATTGGTCAGTCCAGATCTAGGATACAATGCTTTAAAATTAGGGGTCATCCTTTAAGGACAGAGAAAAAGAGACACTTTTTCTCCTGGACGATTGTGCGACTTTGGAATTCTGTGCCTCAGTTGGTGGAGGTGGCAGGGCCATTGAATATTTTTCAGACAAGAGATGAATAGACAAAGAACTCAAGGGTTATCAGTGTTAGATAGGAACATGGAACAGATCAGCCTTGATCTTTTTGAATGGTGGAGTTAGCTCGAGGTGTTGAATCGTCAACTTCTACTCCTATTTACAAAACAGGAAAAAATGTGCACGTTGAAACACTTATGTCTATACCAAATGGGCATCATGCCATGGAAGAAACCTCTTAAGAACTCACTCCTTTTAACAAATATTTTGTGGACACTATAGGGATTGAGGATACTGCAGGAAGGTAGAGCTCATGATCCCTTAAAGTTGCTACCCAAGTTGCTAGGGGTGTTAAGAAGGCATAGGGTATGTTGGCTTTCATTGGCAGGGGAATTGAGTTTAAGGGCCGCGAGGTTATGCTGCAGCTCTATAAAACCCTGGTTAGACCACAATTGGAATATTGTGTTCAGTTCAGGTCACCTCATTATAGGAAGGATGTGGAAGCTTGAGAGAGGGTGCAGAAGAGATTTACCAGGATGCTGCCTGGACTGGAGGGCAGGTCTTATCAGGAAAGGTTGAGGGAGCTAGGGCTGTTCTCTTTGGAGCGAAGAAGGATGAGAGGTGATTTGATAGAGGTGTACAAAATGATGAGAGGCATGGATAGAGTGGATAGCCAGAGACTTTTTCCCAGGGCAGAAATGGCTATCATGAGAGAGCATAATTTTAAGGCGATTGGAAGAA